GCCTTGATAATGTCTTCCTTCCCTGCCCAAAATCATCACTGTGGGCACTCCAGGCTTACCTGAAGAGCTCTGATCCTATGGGGAGGGAGAAGAGGGGTGAAGGAGAAAATCTGTGGCATTTATTTGATGTGGAAGTGCTTACAACCTATGACAACAGACAGAAGGTGAGAATCAGTGTGAGTAATGAGTTGTTTACTTGGCTTTTGTATCCCCCCTCACTCTCCCGGAGCAGGGGCTCTGTTTGTTTTGGTATGTGTTGATCTTGGATTCCTGCAGATGCCACTGCTTTGTCCTTCACCTTCCCAGAAGTTTATTTGATGCCACTAATTGCATCACTTAGTGCTACAGGAAGGGTAGGGTATGGTAGTTAGGATGTGGAATGCCACATTTTTCCTTTTCATTACAACATTAGCGTATTTTCAGCCAGGATCTATCGTTTCTCTGAGTTTGGACCCAGACCACATTTGGAGAACTGAGGTCCCCTCAAAGACTGCTGTGAAAGCTGGCCCCATGCGCTGCAGGCATGCAGTCTGCCATTAATCTTGTATTTGGGTTGCCTAGGAAAGTGTTTTTGTTCTGGGGGAGTAGAGTGTCTCTCTGCAGTTTCCTGATTCCTATGCTTATGGTACTGGAGCTAAACTCGTGGAAAATAGGGGAAAACTTGGATTTGTTTTTAATGTTGGACTTGGCAGTATGTGTCCATGTGCATGAGACAATTTGTGATTTATTATCCCAGAATTTGTTAGAAACAGCCTCTAACTCCTTTTGAGAAAATTGGTGGGTCAGACAAAAGAGAATGCCCAGGTTTTCTTTCTTTAATTAAATGCTCTCAGCTAAGGTAAAAAGGAGAAAAAGCTGGACTTACTTTGTGCTGTGGTGTGGCACTGCTGTGCTGAACTGGCTACATGGCCCCAAAATGTTGAAGTGCTGTCACAGATCACCTAGTACTTGGTCTGCAGCCTCAACCACATCCCTCTTGGCTGGGGAGTTTGACCAGCCCAACATTGAAAGAGTGGATTTTTCTGATCTGGTGTACCAAGAGCACACATGGTACAGATGCAGATTGGCTCTGGCTCTTTAGGAAAGAGTTGCCTGGAGTGTTCTAGGAGAAAGGCGTTCTGCACACCTGAGAAGCAGCTAAAGGGTGTTTCAGTTTGCACATGAACTCCGGGGGCTGGGATGATGTGAGAAGCCTACAGCCCTTGGCTGCTGCAGAAGTGGGAGGGAGAGGGGATGGGAGTCTCACAGAAGAAGACCCTGCAAAAGGGTCTGAGCTGCAGCTCAGCTTTGTTAAAGCTTTGGAAACCTGGGAGTAGTTTCTGCACTTTTATAAATATGAAAAAAAAATATATTCCTTAGGTGTAAATTGTCAGGAGGAAGGCTGTGGCTAGGTAAATTCACCTTCACTTGCCCTTTCTGTGCAAGGGGTACAGGAGCAAGACGGCCGAAGCAGAAGGGTGTAGGCAGGGGCAGTGGAGTACTTTTGCTGAGTGCTGCTGATGTGGGTGCTGGTCTGGTGGGCGCGCTGTTGAGCTGAACACAGGCTGCCAGAGCATCACTGCTCAGGTTGGAAGGAAGCAAAAGGACAAGTAAATGCTGGATTCAGAGAAAGGGAATGATTTCAGAATGAAGGAGACTCATAAAAGGCCCGTGGTCCTTTTTTACCTGGCTCTTGATCCATACCAAGTTGTGAGTGTCAGAACAGAGAACAGAGCAGAACAGAGAACAGAGCAGAGCAGAGAACAGGACTGGAGAGGAGCTGGGGAGGTTCTTGTGGGTGCTCCAGCTGCCTGGGGAGCATGGGAATGCTTCTTGGCCATTGCTTTCCAGTAGCAGCCCACTTGTCTGCAGGGACAATTGGTTTGTTTCCTATCCTGTTTTATTTTGTTTGAGCATCCTAAGCTGTAAGAGTTCTTCAGTAGGCAGCAGCTGATGCCTTCCAGGTTGGTTCTGGAGGTTTCTTCCCTGATTGGGAGAGCTTTTTAAGAGGAGGATTTCTCCCACCATTCTTTTGCTTGGGGCTGAGGGCAGCTGGTTTCCCTGTGCTGTACGAGGGAGCCCAGGGGAGGCTTCTTGGCAGCTAAGCAGTGTGTAACAAGAACCAGTGCTGGCTGGTGGATTGGTCCCCTTTCTACACTCTCCCTTCACCTGAGACTGTTATTACCAATTCTGGCAGTTCTTCCACCATCCCCAAGCAGCTGTTCTGGGGCACGTCACACTGCTGCCTGCAAATACCAGCTGGTCTCCTGGCTCGGCTGCGTCCAGCATTGCACCGGGCAGGGAGGCAGTGGGTACCCTCCCCACCAGCACACTGAGTATGTTGGCCCTATGGACACATTGTGCTTTTATTAGGCAGAGCCGTGTTAAGTGCCACCTGCAGCCAGGAACAGCCAGAAACAAAACCTTCCCTCCTCAGTTGGATTAAACACAACTTTTTCAGTGCAGGAAGCCACTTGTCACCCCGTTGCCAACTGGGCTTTCACCTCGTGGGTGCTCTCTTGCTGTTTGGGTTCTCTGAATGCAACAGAATTTAGAATTCGTAGAGTCATAGAATGGTTAGGGTTGGAAGGACCTTAGGATCATCTAGTTCTATCCCCCCTGCCATGGGCAAGGATGCCTCACTCTAGACCATGTCTCCCAAGGCTCTGTCCAACCTGGCCTTGAACACGGCCATAAAATGAAATAAAATAAATATAAAAGCAGCTAAACTAATGATAAGTCATTTATTTCTATAGTGACAGAATCTGTTTTGTTTTTCTAGAATGCTGACAATTTCCACTGCTTAGCTCTGCTGTGTAGAGTTGTAACAGTTAATGAGAAATGGTCTGGAAACAGCTACTGTTTTAACTGGTGAAGCAATTACTGTTCAGTTTTGATGCTGGAAAATAACGGCGTGTAAAGTGTTTCTCTTTCTTTTCTGGGCTTTTTTCAAATTTGTAATTAGGCTTCTCCAATTATGTACTTCATAAACTTTGGAAACAGATCTTTCAAATAAGTGCTTACTGCTTGGTATTCTTATGCGCATAACTTTGTTAAGGTAAATAGACTCACAGGACTTAAAAGGAATATTAATGTGGGTAAAGTTACCCCAAAATATACGAGTCTAGAGGTTGAGGACCTTTCAGTGGTAGGGCTCTTTTAAATAAATAAATAAAACTGAAGTATCCAGTTTCCATAAAGAAGAGCAAACATAGTGTAGTTCTGGTTTCCTCTGTTGCTGCAAATTGTAATCTTTTTCTTAATATGGCTATCAAAAAGAAATAAATGCAAAAGTCATCTTTAATAAAGCAGTTGCTGTTCAAGTAAGTTAGGGAGTGAAATCCTGCTGTGTCGTGTACTGCAAATAACTTGCCTGCAGTCAAGATTTACTCTGGATTTTCACCAAGATCAAAACTTGATCCTTTAAATGAGCATAAAACAGTAAAAGAAAGGGAATTTGGGATTAATTTTCTTAAGATCCTGTGTCATCACACCATGACCAAGCACCACTCGTGTATAAATGCATTGCCCCTGCTGCTGACAGTCTCAGCAGCAGATAAAACATGCATGTGGCTTACACTGAGAGCTGAAGCCCCAAAGCCTGATTGCCCCCCCCACAGCTGTGTGAATGTCAAAGAGGAGAAGACACGGAAGCAGAAGGAGCAGTATGATGTGTTCCCGCTTGCCCATCACATAATCATCTCCCACTGCTACGCACAGCCCGTGGCGGGGAGCAGCCAGGGAGCCTAGGCCTTGCAGGGTGCCAGCAAGCTTGTTTTGCCTTAAACTCCTGCCTCAGTGAACAAGACTAGTGAAAGCCACATGTGCTGAGGATTACTAAATGTGAGCAGGTGTCATTTAAATTACCACCAGTTAGAGTGACAAGGTGTGTAAAAATCCAAACATTGCCTTTAAAACAGATTTTCATTGCACGTACGTGTGAGAAGGGGTAGGGACCAGAGCAGGAAATGCCTTTTTAGGTCTGCAGGAATGACCAAGGCTTGAAGGAAGCCAGTGCTGGGTTTGCTTGCTTCTGGCATTACCCATGCTGTGGGAGGGGTGCCAAGCTCCCCTTTTTCCTCAGAGTCATTTTTGCAGCAGGAAGAACAAGAACTTAACACTTCTGATGTACTAGCAGCAGTTGTTCATTGGGCTAAGATTACAATGAAAAGTATTGCAGCTTGTCCATTGCAGACTTTTCTCATTCCTAGGTACAAGGATACACACTCCCTTGTTATGCAGCTTGTTTTTATGGTAAAAATTGCTTCACAGAAATACAGATGTATAGAAAAGCCAACTACTAAACTGTAGTTCCTGAGGACTTGAAGCGTTACAGAAAGGTGACTAGGGAGAAAACCCAACTGTGGTTATATATACATTTCTTTCTCTTTTTTTTTTTTTTTTTTTTTTTTTTAAATAGCACACAGATCTTCACAAAAATCTTCAGAGCTCAATGCTGGAAAACAAGCACCTGATTCTATGCATTTGCAGGAGAAAATTGGAAAGATAACAGATCAAGATCCTTGTGAAATAATTTCTTAGTGTTTGGGTGCAAGTATCTCCACATCACATCTAAAAGATTGAGACAAGAATAGCGTAGATAGTTTGTGCAAATAAACACAGATAAACTTGGCAGAAAAAGCTGAATGGTTATACGTCAGTTACAGACTGCAAGTGCTAGTCAAGTAGACTTTCAACTGGGTTTACTCAGCTGATTCTTTTTCATCCATAAAAGGAAGGCTTGTAAGTAAGGTTCTGTGTAATGATGGAAACTGTATTAATTTTACAATTATACTACTACTACTAAAGATGCTAATTATGTGCTACACGTTTCCCTCTAGCTCAACTCTGGTTGCATTTATGCCTTTCCATTGATGTGTCTGGTTAGTGAAGTATGGATATAAATTTCTTTTACTGTAAAAGTAGTGACAATGATCGTCACTTGGGTGACAGTGGGCAGACTTGAACAGATATCATGGTGGAAGATGCATTGTCACATGTCCTTCTCTTGTGTGTTACAGATCTGAATGCATCGCAGACCCAGGGTCCCCAGACGAGCATTCCAAACCAGGGATCCATCCAGCCGCCACAGGTAGATGCACTGCTGCTGAACAACCAGCCTGCGAACCTCAAGCATG